CTAGGGAGAAAAAAAAAATTCCCTGGCTGGGGTTTTTTTATTCTGAGTTGTTTGCTGTTTGTTTTTTTTTCAATTTTCCTATGTGCCTCCAAAACAAAGCACAGTTACCTCCACCTACAACCCACAAGGCAACAGCCAAACCATACCAACATCACACAAGCTCACACACCTTCACAACACACGCTCTGCCACCACACAAACCTCCCCTCACCCTCGGCTACACCGTCATCCCACTGACCTGCCCCAAGGGGACATTTCCTCGTCTCTGCAATGCTCCTCAGGAACGCTGCTCCCAGGGGCCTCCAAAATCGTCCTACCTGACAAAAACCTCAGCTCGAAGACCACCTCTGTCTAAACTTTGGTGATGAATGTCACCTCGCAGAGCAGCCAAGACTGGGGAAAAAAAAAACCCAGCCAGGGGGAAAAAAAAAATCCCCCGGCTGGGTTTTTTTATTTCTAAGTTGGTTTTGTTTTGTTTTAAAATTTCCCTATGGGCCTCCAAAAACAAAGCAGTTACCTCTACCTACAGTCCACAAGGCAATAGCTAAACCACACCAACATCACACAAGCTCACACACCTTCACAACACACACTTAATTACCACACAAACCACCCCTCACCCGTGCCATCCTCACACCCTCCTGCCGCAAGGGGACATCGCCCCAACTCTGGAGCTCCCAGGAGCTTCCAAGATCTCCCTGCCTGCCGAAAACTCTGACCCTAGGCCCTCCTGCGACCAACACTGGTGATGTGTATCGCCTCCCAGAGCAACTGGGACTGGGGGGAAAAAACACCCAGCCAGGGAAAAAAAAAAAAAGAAAGTTGGAACACGCTTGGTCTCTGTCACCCACTGATGTCTGCCCCGGTATTTAGCTTTCACAGTGCCACGGGTCACGGTCCACCCTTGATAGTGCCCACATCACTTAAATGCAAGGTTCTTATAATCACCTCGTGCCGCTAACTCTCCTGCAAAAACCAAACACAAAGCCATTTACCAACAGTTCATCTGTGAGAGAGTGGTCCCCCGCAGCTCCGCTTGCCTGCTCTGCTCCGATTCCCGAAAAAACACATCCCCCTCATGTTCCTCCCGGAAGCTTGAAAATCCAGAGTGTTGCAGTGACCCAGCTGCACCACAGAACCTGACCGCTCTGAGACCTGTCACACTGCTCCTCTATAACCCCGCTGTTTCTAGAGGCTTGCTGCAAAGTGCCTGCCAAAAAAAGAAATTAAAACCCCCAGCGTCATTACTGTGTTACCTCACGTTACCTCACAAACCTGGGACTTGGGTCTTTTTAGTCTGGAGAAGAGACGGCTGAGGGGGGATCTGATCAATGATTAGAAATACTTAAAGGGAGGGTGTCAAGAGGACAGGGCTGGTCTTTTTTCAGTGGTGCCCAGGGACAGGACAAGAGGAAATGGGCACAAACTTGAATATAAGAAGTTCCAGCCCTGGAAGAGGCTGCCCAGGGAGGTGGTGGAGTCTTCTTCTCTGGAGTCATTCCAAACCTGCCTGCTGTCCCACCTACCCCTGACTCTACCCCCCCCAGGCAGAGCAGCTCCACACCAAACACACCCTTGTGCAGCCCAACATCACACAACACTATAGACAATGCTACTCAAAGATCAGACAATACTCTCTGCAAGGAGAATCGCTTCCAGACCAGAGATACTCTCGGGCAAGAAGACCTACAGGGCCACAGCACTGATGTGAGGAGGCTCTACAGAGATGCCATAAGAGAGTCACATGTAATGGCCAGTTACAAGAAGTTCCTGTCAAAACAGAGAGGTTGCACACACAAGAAGTCCGTCTTCAAGACCTGGGAATGTCAGGATGCTGGGAAGAAATCCCAGTCTGCGAAAACAGATTGCTAGAGAACAGAGCTGCTCATGCAGCCAGGAATGATGAGGCAAAAAGAGGATCGTCCAGAAACGTCCCAGATGCAAGTCCAATACGCACTTTAAGATTGTTATTCAAGGAAAGAAGCGCTCATTGGGCATGATGCCAATGAGTACAGGCATTCCAGACCCTAGGGGTGGTGCCCGAGGCACCTGCTGTGCCTCTTCAGTGCAAAGAGCAACGAGGACATCAAGACCTGAGGAAAGTCTAAGACACAGAAGACAGACCACACAAACTACACAACAGACACTGTCCAGAACTGTCCTGCCTGGCGCACGCTTACTTCGTCCTGAAGAGTAACCCACTCCCTTTACCTACCCAGAGGGGGCTGCTCCTGGACAGCCCCTGCCCTACCCTGACTTTGAACCCCTCCCTGCAACTCCCAACCTTGTCCCTTTCCCAACAGTCCCCAGCACGAGACCCTCAACTTAGCTTTCAGAAAGCGTGGGGCCTGTAGCCATCCTCCACAAGGAAAACCATAGTCAGCCAACTGGATCGCTCCTGCAGTCGCTGGGCTCCTCTACTGATATGGGCTCCATATCAGTACCAGATATGAAACAGGATCATACTGTGAGACAGAAACCAAACGGACCTCTCTGGACCACACAGATGCCTCTGGAAAAGGTTCTCACAGAAAAAAAACCACCTTTTTTTCCATCTTCCCCAGGGCCGGGCTCAAAAAGTGCCAAACTCCCGGAGATTGTTCCCACACCCAGGGTGTCGGGAGGGCAAACTTCTGCTGGTTCTCAAGCTCTTTGGGAACCGCTTGTATCACCCCACAAACCCTGGGGCTCCAGTCTTTCCTGGCAATTTCATTCTCAAGACCAGAGAGCAGGAGAACGTGGTCCCCCATGAAAAAAGTTGCTGAGAATAAGCAACAGCTGTAGCTCGATACTTTTTTTGATATCTGTGTGTGTGTATGTATGTATATATGTGCATAAATATTGTCTCTGTTTCATTATTTCTTTTTAATTTCATTACAGATATTTCATTTATTTCGTTTTTTTTAAGAAAGTCGGGGTTTTTTAAGTATTGCATTACAGTCCTAAACGCCTTTATCCATCTCCTTCCTCCCCTCTGAGCGAGACGTGGGGGGGGGGCAGCCACTGCCCCACCCGGCCCGACCTGCCGCAATGCTAATTAAACCATCTTGCCGCCCCTCAACACTCACGACAAAATTAATGACCTAAAAGGCGGAGGACCTGGAGGACCCAAACGCCGCAGAGACGGAATCTCTGAGGACTAAGGAGCTTTTCCTGTTTCTCGGAGGACCGTGGGACCATAGAGATGCACTTCCGAGGGAGTGACGGGCACTTCCGGTCCCTTGGAGGCCCGCTAGACGATGCCGTGGGAGGACCGACAGTCACTTCCAGTGTCCTGGAGGACCTAAAGGCCATAGAGATGGAACTCCGGAGGACTAACCGCCCCCCCACGCCGCAGTACCGGCCTCTGGCCGCCGGGCGGCTGCACTCCCTTAATTATCCCCCGCCTGAGCCCTCATTAGTGTGATGAGCGATGACCGCTCTCAGCGCAGCCGGGGACCGCAACCGCTCACCGGCGGGCAGGGTTTCTTTTCCCAAGCACAGACCCCGAATGAGGGGGTTTGGGGTATTATTCTCTATTTACACATATATATCTATCTATTTACATATATATCTCTCTATCTATTTACACATAGATATCTATTTACACATAGATATCTATTTAGGGAATATATAATCACTTTTTACACTTCTATAGAATAATCCCTTTAGGCTTAGAACTACTTAAGACTTACACGTTAACACTTATTATATAGAGTATCTAATTAGACTAGCTGCTTCCACATCTATTTTGACAGTAATATCTTCTTATAGATAATGTTTAAAGTATTTTTAATGTTCTAAGGTCTTTTATATAATATTGAATCACAGAATTGTAGAATCCTTGAGACAGAGGGTTTATTCTGAACTCCTTTTATATATGTAAATGACTATTATTTTGCCATCTACATAAAAATGAGAGTAAAATTCTTCTCTATTCCAATGCCTCACCCCCGTATTTACAGTTTTTAACATTTTTTTTAACCACAACCCCTGAATTTTCAGACATCTGGGGGCTGTGACCCCCCTCTTTTGGGGGGAACCCCACAGAACCCCCACTCACCTGCTCCTCTGCCACATCGTCGCTCCCCTGGTGACATCGGGGTGCCCCAAATGATGCCAGGAGACCTGTGCACACCTCCTTTTTCGTTTTCTTATAGATAATGTTTAAAGTATTTTTAATGTTCTAAGGTCTTTTATATAATATTGAATCACAGAATTGTAGAATCCTTGAGACAGAGGGTTTATTCTGAACTCCTTTTATATATGTAAATGACTATTATTTTGCCATCTACATAAAAATGAGAGTAAAATTCTTCTCTATTCCAATGCCTCACCCCCGTATTTACAGTTTTTAACATTTTTTTTAACCACAACCCCTGAATTTTCAGACATCTGGGGGCTGTGACCCCCCTCTTTTGGGGGGAACCCCACAGAACCCCCACTCACCTGCTCCTCTGCCACATCGTCGCTCCCCTGGTGACATCGGGGTGCCCCAAATGATGCCAGGAGACCTGTGCACACCTCCTTTTTGGTTTTTTTTTTTAGTTCACCCCCAAAAAATGGACCAAACGACCAGACCCAGGGCTGGTTTCTCCACCAGCTGCAAACCTGCGGTTGGGGCATCCGTTGAGCAGCATGGGACGCCGAGGAGGAGACACCTGGAAAACAACAATCCCCAACTGTAGTTCAGCGTCATCCGACACAACCAGCAGAGGGATTCCCTCAGAGCGAGGGACGGGGCAGGAGCTGAGCTACAGGAGGATGGGTGCTGGGGAAACAGCTCCCCTCCGAACACGGCACCCTTTGGCACTCCTTTTAACTGGCACAGCTCCAAACCCACATCGGCACGCTTCTCCGTCTCCAAAACGCACAGTTACCCTGTGACTGGGGGGGTTTCTTTTCGTCCTACCCAAGGAAGAGGGACATCTGGCCGGCGGCGCTGCCCAAGGGAGATGCCACCAGACCACTGGGGAAACGCACCCCCTGGAAGCCAGGCAAAAATCAAGCCCTTTGGAGCGCTACCTGAAACAAAATCTGGAAACCAGAAGCAGTTCAGACAGGAGATGTTGCTTTATTCAACACGGGGTGCCAGGTGGAAATCCACAAATCTAGCACAGCTTAACAGATACCTTCACCCGTTATTCAGACACAAAAAATTCTCATTATTCTGCCTACCTAATCCGTAACTCCACCTGGGCTGACACATGGATTAGGATGATCCAACAGCCCCTTTTTGCACAAGTATAAAATTCTGCAGCGTCTGCAAAGCGCTCCTGCACAGGCGTGAGCTCCTCGGTGGTCTTTTGGGTAAGGGATACCCTTCCTCATGTTATCCTTTTTAAGGCATTGAGTCATCTCAGGACAGTAAAAGTTCACTGTAAGTTTCCCAGCTTCTTGAGGATGATGAAGACGTTCCTTGAAGTAGCCACGGCTCTGCCCTAATTGGTATAGGACTTTTGTTATATCTATCTATATATATACTTTGGCATGTGAGAGTAATTAACTCATTTAAGTTAGCATGTGGCCTGCCTTTGCTAACAAGGAAAGCCCCCAGAACCCTCACCCCGGCCCTCAGCAGCCTCCTGCGAGGCCTCTTCCCTTGGGGAGAGCCCCCAGACTGTCCCAGAGCCAGCCCTGGGGTGGCCCCACAGGCTACTGCCAGGAGGAGGAGGTGATACTGGAGGAGGGTAAACTCAGCATTCCCGCTAAACAAAGCAGCAGAGGAGAGAAAAAGACCTGCCCTGCATTCCCCCCATAGAAAAAAATATTCTGTTTCTCTGTATAATCCTTTCTCTATCACATTTGAGCGTAAATGCTTGGTCTACAGAAGAGGCGTGCGTCGTATCTAACAGCCAGTGCTGGTTCTCAATGAGCGCAGAGGACACTTGGCAGGACTGCCCTTTTATAGCCCCAAATCTTCTTTCCCTGTCCTCTTGCAGATCCCCACGATTCCCCCAGGAAGTCAGCAGGAGCTGGTTTCCAGGGGTGCCGTTCCTTGGTGACCTTCAGAGTGTATAGTTTCAGGCTGGGGCAGTGGGTGAGGAACGCTTCTACCACCTCCTGGCTGACCACACAGTAGCAGTGGATCTCCAACAGATTTCTGCACTGCTTGGCCAGATCGACGAGCGAGGAATTTAAGTCCTCTGAGGATGTGGTTTGCAGCATCAGCTTCTTTAAAGTACCGCTGTAGCTCTGGGTGATGAACCTAATCTGATTTACCATGTAATTATGGGTATTGAGTTGCAGGGTGCTCACAGGTATATTCAGCTTTAGGATCAGTGGGATTTTGCAGGCAGGGACTGTATGATCAAACTCTAGGTCTACACGGAGTCGAGGATGCTTTTGACTTACAGCAGCCCAGAGCTCTTCTGAGATAACCGGTATGTACTTGTCCAGGCGCTCACAGAAAATGTCTAAGTGGGTGAAAGCTGCTCTTTCGGGCTTGAGCAGTTCCTGAAACACGTCGTCAGACAAACTGGTGTAGTAAACCCCCAGGGCTGAGAGTTTGGGACACGCTCTGAAAACTTTCCTAATGGTGCCCGGTGCCACGTTGCACACCAAGCTGTGGTTGTTGATGAACAAACTGTGCAAGTTTGGGTTGGCGGTAGCCAAGAGTTCCAACCAGTATAGGTTGATATGTATGGTGAGATTTATCTTTGAACCATTCCCCAAATTGGTGAACAAATACAGTCAGACTTTCAAAATAATTTTGTGACTTTATTTATATTTTCTTCAGCAGAGCAGTCGTCCATAAAATAGCAAACTTGGTAAATACTGTGTCTTTGGGGCATCAAGCTTGAAAAGCCTGTCAGCAGAATCAAGTCTTCCAGTTTTCAGACTGTTCCAGTTCACTGGCTGGATCTATGAGGTAAGAACAATTTGGGCATAGGTCAGGATCCTGCTGTCATTATTTTTACAGCAAGTTTCACTAGCATGCTTGCTCTAAAGTGGTAGTCTGAGAATGGCAGAACTGGCACCAGCAGAGGGATTCCCTCAGAGCGAGGGACGGGGCAGGAGCTGAGCTACAGGAGGATGGGTGCTGGGGAAACAGCTCCCCTCCGAACACGGCACCCTTTGGCACTCCTTTTAACTGGCACAGCTCCAAACCCACATCGGCACGCTTCTCCGTCTCCAAAACGCACAGTTACCCTGTGACTGGGGGGGTTTCTTTTCGTCCTACCCAAGGAAGAGGGACATCTGGCCGGCGGCGCTGCCCAAGGGAGATGCCACCAGACCACTGGGGAAACGCACCCCCTGGAAGCCAGGCAAAAATCAAGCCCTTTGGAGCGCTACCTGAAACAAAATCTGGAAACCAGAAGCAGTTCAGACAGGAGATGTTGCTTTATTCAACACGGGGTGCCAGGTGGAAATCCACAAATCTAGCACAGCTTAACAGATACCTTCACCCGTTATTCAGACACAAAAAATTCTCATTATTCTGCCTACCTAATCCGTAACTCCACCTGGGCTGACACATGGATTAGGATGATCCAACAGCCCCTTTTTGCACAAGTATAAAATTCTGCAGCGTCTGCAAAGCGCTCCTGCACAGGCGTGAGCTCCTCGGTGGTCTTTTGGGTAAGGGATACCCTTCCTCATGTTATCCTTTTTAAGGCATTGAGTCATCTCAGGACAGTAAAAGTTCACTGTAAGTTTCCCAGCTTCTTGAGGATGATGAAGACGTTCCTTGAAGTAGCCACGGCTCTGCCCTAATTGGTATAGGACTTTTGTTATATCTATCTATATATATACTTTGGCATGTGAGAGTAATTAACTCATTTAAGTTAGCATGTGGCCTGCCTTTGCTAACAAGGAAAGCCCCCAGAACCCTCACCCCGGCCCTCAGCAGCCTCCTGCGAGGCCTCTTCCCTTGGGGAGAGCCCCCAGACTGTCCCAGAGCCAGCCCTGGGGTGGCCCCACAGGCTACTGCCAGGAGGAGGAGGTGATACTGGAGGAGGGTAAACTCAGCATTCCCGCTAAACAAAGCAGCAGAGGAGAGAAAAAGACCTGCCCTGCATTCCCCCCATAGAAAAAAATATTCTGTTTCTCTGTATAATCCTTTCTCTATCACATTTGAGCGTAAATGCTTGGTCTACAGAAGAGGCGTGCGTCGTATCTAACAGCCAGTGCTGGTTCTCAATGAGCGCAGAGGACACTTGGCAGGACTGCCCTTTTATAGCCCCAAATCTTCTTTCCCTGTCCTCTTGCAGATCCCCACGATTCCCCCAGGAAGTCAGCAGGAGCTGGTTTCCAGGGGTGCCGTTCCTTGGTGACCTTCAGAGTGTATAGTTTCAGGCTGGGGCAGTGGGTGAGGAACGCTTCTACCACCTCCTGGCTGACCACACAGTAGCAGTGGATCTCCAACAGATTTCTGCACTGCTTGGCCAGATCGACGAGCGAGGAATTTAAGTCCTCTGAGGATGTGGTTTGCAGCATCAGCTTCTTTAAAGTACCGCTGTAGCTCTGGGTGATGAACCTAATCTGATTTACCATGTAATTATGGGTATTGAGTTGCAGGGTGCTCACAGGTATATTCAGCTTTAGGATCAGTGGGATTTTGCAGGCAGGGACTGTATGATCAAACTCTAGGTCTACACGGAGTCGAGGATGCTTTTGACTTACAGCAGCCCAGAGCTCTTCTGAGATAACCGGTATGTACTTGTCCAGGCGCTCACAGAAAATGTCTAAGTGGGTGAAAGCTGCTCTTTCGGGCTTGAGCAGTTCCTGAAACACGTCGTCAGACAAACTGGTGTAGTAAACCCCCAGGGCTGAGAGTTTGGGACACGCTCTGAAAACTTTCCTAATGGTGCCCGGTGCCACGTTGCACACCAAGCTGTGGTTGTTGATGAACAAACTGTGCAAGTTTGGGTTGGCGGTAGCCAAGAGTTCCAACCAGTATAGGTTGATATGTATGGTGAGATTTATCTTTGAACCATTCCCCAAATTGGTGAACAAATACAGTCAGACTTTCAAAATAATTTTGTGACTTTATTTATATTTTCTTCAGCAGAGCAGTCGTCCATAAAATAGCAAACTTGGTAAATACTGTGTCTTTGGGGCATCAAGCTTGAAAAGCCTGTCAGCAGAATCAAGTCTTCCAGTTTTCAGACTGTTCCAGTTCACTGGCTGGATCTATGAGGTAAGAACAATTTGGGCATAGGTCAGGATCCTGCTGTCATTATTTTTACAGCAAGTTTCACTAGCATGCTTGCTCTAAAGTGGTAGTCTGAGAATGGCAGAACTGGCGTGGCACGGAGCTAGTGTGCAAGGAAGGCATAATTTGACTAGGTTAGATGTAAATAGAAGCACTTAGGTAGTGTATACATTAGCAACTATAATCTTTTCATATGATTATCTATTCACTATATAAGACATTTAGGCTACTTTTATATGAAATAAAGATAGGCGAAAGAATAATGACCGCAGGATCCTGACCAATAGTTTGCTATTTTATGGATGACTGCTCCGCCGAAGAAAAAAATAAATAACCTTTCAAATAAAAGTACAAAACTGTCTTAAAAAGTGATACTACAATTTGTCAAAAAATGTTGATTAAGAAAAGTCACAAAATTATTTTGAAAGTCTGACTGTATTTATTCACCAATTTGGGGAATGGTTCAAAGATAAATCTCACCATACATATCAACCTATACTGGTTCAAGTCAGTCCCTCATCAAACGTTGCTAATTGCCTACTCTCTAGGTTGTGTACCTTAAATTTCAGTTGTTTTTTATTTAATTAGACCAGCAGTGGGAAATTAATCCTGTAACTGGAATTCCACTGATGAAAAATTTACATTCCTTGCCATTCCCATAAAGTTCGGCGTGGTGGACCATTCAAGCATACTACTCCAGATTTCAATTCCTGGGTTTATTCATGGGAACAGACAGCATGAAATTAAAGTGTTAGAGATGATCATAACCTCTGAAGTCTGCATTTTGCAGATTTCATGTGCACTTAAGTCTGAAAACGTTGGCCCCGTTTGGTACTTAGCGCCTTGTTGACAATTGTGCCTTTAGAATTTTCCTTCAGGGTGAACAATTTAAATATGTCCTCTGGTAAATAGAAAAAATACAGAAAACTTCACTCAGCTTCAGATAACTTGTTTCAGGCAAAGCCTTGCTCTTAACTAATTTGAAATTTTGCTGTTTGTAAAGAATATTTCTCAGTGACATGTAACTGTAAGGAAAATCTGCCAGATTAAGACTACAGTCTTAATAAATGTAGTCTTAATGTTATTAAGATAATATACAAGTTTGATCTTCAAGTTAAATATTTATAATTATATTATAGACATATTTTTAACTCTATTTTTAATTTCCAGGTTATAGTAATATCCACTCTCTCTGACTGTGTTAGCAGGTAAGTGTGAAACCTGGATCTTCAGCATTACATTACTCCAGCAATGTTATTGACTTAAGTCAATTAAAGTGAAACTTTACTTAACACCTTTTTTAGATCTCAGGGATACTAAAGGGAGGTCATCCTCCCTCTTTACTCTGCCCTAGTGAGGCCACATCTGGAGTACCGTGCCCAGTCCTGGGCTCCACAGTTCCAGGAAACTACTGCAAAGAGTCCAGCAGAAGGCTACAAAGGTGATCAAGGCAATGGAACACTTCTCTGATGAGGAAAGGCTGAGAGACCTGGGTCCGGTCTAGCCCGGAGAAGAGCAGACTGAGAGGATCTTATCAATGATTATAAATATCTAGAAGGCAAGTGTCAAGAGGATGGCGTCAAACTCTTCTTCTGGTTTCTCTTCTCACCTGGTGCCTGGTGACGGGACAAGGGGTGTCCTGGGTCTGGCGGGGATGGGGTTAATTCTCCCCAGGCCCTAGCAGGGACACAGGTATTCCATCCCAATTTATATTTTCTTCAGCAGAGCAGTCGTCCATAAAATAGCAAACTTGGTAAATACTGTGTCTTTGGGGCATCAAGCTTGAAAAGCCTGTCAGCAGAATCAAGTCTTCCAGTTTTCAGACTGTTCCAGTTCACTGGCTGGATCTATGAGGTAAGAACAATTTGAGCATAGGTCAGGATCCTGCTGTCATTATTTTTACAGCAAGTTTCACTAGCATGCTTGCTCTAAAGTGGTAGTCTGAGAATGGCAGAACTGGCATGACACGGAGCTAGTGTGCAAGGAAGGCATAATTTGACTAGGTTAGATGTAAATGGAAGCACTTAGGTAGTGTATAACTTAGCAACTATAATCTTTTCATATGGTTATCTATTCACTATATAAGACATTTAGGCTTCTTTTATATGAAATAAAGATAGGCGAAAGAATAATGACCGCAGGATCCTGACCAATAGTTTGCTATTTTATGGATGACTGCTCCGCCGAAGAAAAAAATAAATAACCTTTCAAATAAAAGTACAAAACTGTCTTAAAAAGTGATACTACAATTTGTCAAAAAATGTTGATTAAGAAAAGTCACAAAATTATTTTGAAAGTCTGACTGTATTTATTCACCAATTTGGGGAATGGTTCAAAGATAAATCTCACCATACATATCAACCTATACTGGTTCAAGTCAGTCCCTCATCAAACGTTGCTAATTGCCTACTCTCTAGGTTGTGTACCTTAAATTTCAGTTGTTTTTTATTTAATTAGACCAGCAGTGGGAAATTAATCCTGTAACTGGAATTCCACTGATGAAAAATTTACATTCCTTGCCATTCCCATAAAGTTCGGCGTGGTGGACCATTCAAGCATACTACTCCAGATTTCAATTCCTGGGTTTATTCATGGGAACAGACAGCATGAAATTAAAGTGTTAGAGATGATCATAACCTCTGAAGTCTGCATTTTGCAGATTTCATGTGCACTTAAGTCTGAAAACGTTGGCCCCGTTTGGTACTTAGCGCCTTGTTGACAATTGTGCCTTTAGAATTTTCCTTCAGGGTGAACAATTTAAATATGTCCTCTGGTAAATAGAAAAAATACAGAAAACTTCACTCAGCTTCAGATAACTTGTTTCAGGCAAAGCCTTGCTCTTAACTAATTTGAAATTTTGCTGTTTGTAAAGAATATTTCTCAGTGACATGTAACTGTAAGGAAAATCTGCCAGATTAAGACTACAGTCTTAATAAATGTAGTCTTAATGTTATTAAGATAATATACAAGTTTGATCTTCAAGTTAAATATTTATAATTATATTATAGACATATTTTTAACTCTATTTTTAATTTCCAGGTTATAGTAATATCCACTCTCTCTGACTGTGTTAGCAGGTAAGTGTGAAACCTGGATCTTCAGCATTACATTACTCCAGCAATGTTATTGACTTAAGTCAATTAAAGTGAAACTTTACTTAACACCTTTTTTAGATCTCAGGGATACTAAAGGGAGGTCATCCTCCCTCTTTACTCTGCCCTAGTGAGGCCACATCTGGAGTACCGTGCCCAGTCCTGGGCTCCACAGTTCCAGGAAACTACTGCAAAGAGTCCAGCAGAAGGCTACAAAGGTGATCAAGGCAATGGAACACTTCTCTGATGAGGAAAGGCTGAGAGACCTGGGTCCGGTCTAGCCCGGAGAAGAGCAGACTGAGAGGATCTTATCAATGATTATAAATATCTAGAAGGCAAGTGTCAAGAGGATGGCGTCAAACTCTTCTTCTGGTTTCTCTTCTCACCTGGTGCCTGGTGACGGGACAAGGGGTGTCCTGGGTCTGGCGGGGATGGGGTTAATTCTCCCCAGGCCCTAGCAGGGACACAGGTATTCCATCCCACTGGAGCCATGCCCAAGGGGGAGCTGGAGCTGCCGGGGAAGGGGGGGGAGAGGAAGTCCGGGGGGTGGGGAGGAGGAGGTGACCCCGCGGGGGAGGAGAGCGGTTGGGGGCGTCCAGGGTGCGCTCGGCGAGTGGCGGTATCGTAATTGCAGTTGTATATCCCCTTAGAGAGCCCTGCGGACCCCTATAATGCCCTATATTCCTCTTCAGCCCTCTGCAACTGCCTATAGCCCCCTAGAGACTTGGCACCCAGCAGCCCCTAAAAGCCCCTGCTGCCCCTTACAGAGCCCTAAAGATACCTAGAGACCCCTACAGATCCCTGACGGCCCCTACAAACCCTTACAGCCCCGTACAGCCCTCTAAAGCCCCCTAGAACCCCCTACAGGCCCCTGATGCCCCCTGCAGACTCTTAGAGACCACTAAGAAACCCTGCAGACCCCTACGAACACCTAGAGATCCCTAGAGAACCCTAAGAACCCCTGCAGACCCCTACTGCATGCTGTGGATCCCTACGGACCCCTATATGCCTCTACAAATCCCTGCAGCCCCCTGGCGCACCCTTAGAAGGGAAAGTACTAACTCTTGATGAAAAGGTGATAAGAAGGGTGAAAAGAGTGTTGTAGCTTATTTCATATAATGAATTGTGGATACTCAAGGAGAAATATTCATGTTTCTCCTGGCACAACAGAAGTAGATGATCTCCAGAATGATAGCATTTATATGTGCACGTTTAAGTCTACATATACATGGCAGATTTTTTAACCTATTTTAAATTTTCATGTTCTTAGACCTACCAGTCACTTGCAGTACAAGTGAATTAATACCACTATTGCATGTAATCATCTTCAAGAGTATCAATGAGGTTTACCAAAATTTTAGCAACTGTAATAGATGAACACCATAGAAATATCCTTGCAAAATGTTTAACGGATACTTTATTTTCTTTGCAAATCGACAATTTGCATAGCATTAAATTCTGTTCGTTCTCTTCCTTCATCCTAAAGCAGTGACTAGAGTCTTGGGAGTCTGGCTAATAGAGTTTCCTAACATTGTTCATCCTTAACTAATGTTAGATTAATTTTTCTTTTCTTCATTGAACATATATGAAATGAAATTTTAATCCACACCTCGTCTATTAAGTCAGAAAGAGCAAAATTCTGTATTTGTCTTCTACTAGTAGATAGGACTTTGGGTTCAAGGAGAATCTATTGTCACATTTAATGGCATGTCGTAGCTTCTGCAGTATTCCCTTACTGCCATTTGCTTGTTCCTATTCTCAGGTCTCCACGGCAGCAGCAGAGATGTTTTTTAGTTTTTCTTTTTCTTTAAAGAATACTATACCTGAAACTTCCCACTCTAAAACCAGTTGTGTTCTTAGGTCTGACTGTCCACGGTTGCTTTCTCTGTTTCAGTACGTGCTACGTGTAAAGCTGTCCTGTTACAATAGAGGAGATAGTCGTGGGTAAGAAGGAACTGGAGTGAAGACAAGACACTTGAGGATGGAAATCTCCAAGGAAAGGAAAGTAAGATTACAGTCTACAGCAAGAAGATACTTTCAGACTATCTTATCTGAAAGCATAAAACTTTTTTATTGCAACCAGGATGAAATTCTTGAGACAGCTGACAGTAAGATTTCACATGAAATCAGAATTTTGCCAGATTCTCCAGAGTCAAAACTGGCAAAATTTGTGAATTCCATCTAAATTTTTTTGAAATAGTTAGAAATTACAATTTGATTTTCAAAACAATTTAAGGTAGGTTGGCTTACAAATGTGTTAAATCATTCACTATATTATGTTTGGGGAAATGGCCCAAAATAGCTCTGGTTTAACTCCCTGTGAAAACATGTCATCTATTCTGGGTTCTTTTTCTTTTAGCTGATATGCACTTCTAAAGGGAATTCTAAATGAAAAAATGAATTTTGCAATAAGAAAAAAATACGCATATAAGGACCTAGTGAAAATAGTTGCTTTGCTTTACGCTTCTGCATGAGTGCAAGTCAAGTCATGTGCAGGCATCAACAAACTCATACGTGAGCTTCATGTGAATGCGTTCCTCATTCTCAGTTCGATCCTGACTTTTTACCGCCAAAGTTCTGGCTGCAATACAAAATGTGTTTGACAGGCACCGGCCTAAAGAATCTCATGCTTGAAGACTTAAGAGCATAAGTGGAGTTTGATAAAGGTTGTGTGGTGGGTTGACCTTGGCTGGTGCTCAGACCCTTCTGTAGTTGCCATCCTTGGCCCTTTACCCCCAGGCTCATTACTGGAGGGCCTGGTTTTATTCCCTTCTCCCTTCTGTTCCAGTTTAAAGCCCTGTCCATGAGCCTTGCTAACTCTTGGCCTATTACCCTTTCGCCCTTCCGGGATAGGGTTTTCCCATCCTTTGCCAGCAGGCTCGGTGTCCTGTAAATCGAACTGGGATCAGAGAACCCAAAGCCTTGCCGGTAGCACCAGTTTTGGAGCCAGTCATAGATCTGTCTGGTCTTCTTGTTAACCCATCCAGTCTGGTCTGTAGGGTCTCTAGGGGCCTGGAGGGGGTTGCAGGGGTCTGCAGGGGTCCGTCGGCGGCCGCAGGAGGTTTGGGGGTCTGCGGGGATCTACAGGGGGCTGTAGGGGTCAGCAGGTAGTTTCAGGGGTCTGTGGGGTTTTGTAGGGGTCTGCCAGGTGTGTGCAGGGGGCTGCAGGTGGTTGCAGGGGTCCGTGAGGGGTCTGCAGGGGTCCGCGAGGGGTCTGCAGGGGTCCGCATGGGGTTGTAAAGGGCTGCAGGGGTCAGTAGGGGTCTGTAGTGGGCAGCCAGGGCGCTGCCAGGGGTCTGTAGGGGTCTCTAAGGGTCTGTAGGGTCTCTAGGGGCCTGGAAGGTCTGTAGGGGGCTGCAGGGGTCTGTAGGGTTTCTTAGCTGTTTGCAGGAGTCTGAGGGGGTCTACAGGGCTCTGTAGGGGAATGTAGGGGTCCATCCGTGCCCCGTATGGTCACGGTCCTTCTCGATGGATGGTGTGAGCCCGTGCTCTTGTGTGCCTGCTGCTCCCGGGGGGTGAAGCACCCCAGGGTCTGGCTTGAGTGAGTGAGTGAGTGAGGGGCTCTCACTGGCCCAGGGCTGAGGGGGAGGTCGCGTTGTCATTTTCCTTTTGCGGGGGACACAGTTTTGGGGCACTTTCAGCCCAGGCGTGCACAGTGCTCACAGGCTTTTCCCTCCTCCCTAGTGCCCCCGGACCAGCCCCACCTGACCGTCTCCAAGACCTCAGCGTTGTCCATCACGCTGGCCTGGCTTCCTGGGGACAATGGGGGCAGCTCCATCCGGGGTACGGCTGCTGGGGGCGACGGGGTCGGC